TTCAAACTCCCGAAGAGGTACCCGATTTTATCAATAGCTCTTTTTCAATCTCGGGTATGAGGGCCGATGAAAAGTCAGCCACAAAATCCGCCAAGATTTGAGATTTGATAGCGGTTTGGGGTCGATACTCGATATCGTATCCACCAATTTCTATGGCCCATTTGGCCAATTGACCCGAAAGCTTGGGTTTGTGCAAAATGTTTTGAAAAGGATAAGTTGTTACAACATGTATCGGATGACATTGGAAATATGGTTTTAGTTTCCTAGAGGCGCTGATTAAAGCGCGCTAATTTTTCTAAGTGGGGATATCTAGTTTCGGCCTCGCCTAAGGTCCGACTGATATAATAAATAGGGAATTGCGTACCCCGTTCTTCTCAAACCAGGACTCCACTTACCGCTATCTCCGAGACAACTAAGTACAAGTAAAGTTGTTCGTCCACTTTCGGGGTATGAAGCAGAGGCGGGCTCAATAAATATCACTTTAGTTCTTCCAAAGCCTGTTGGCATTCCGGAGTCCATGCAAAGTTGCTTTTCTTCTTAAGCAGTGAGAAAAATCGGTGGCTCCTATCTGAGGATCTTGAAATGAATCATCCCAGGGCGGTTATCCTCCCCATTAACCGTTGCACGACCTTCACATTATCTACTACTGTGATATCCTCGATAGCTTTGATTTTATCGGGGTTGATCTCGATTCCTCGGTTGGACACCATGAAACCAAGAAACTTGCCCGAGTCAAACCCGAATGCACATTTTTCGGGGTTGAGCTTCATATTGTACTCCTTTAGTACGTTGAAAAATTCCTGCAAATGCTTTAAATGGTCCTCTGCTCGCAGGGACTTAACTAACATGTCATTAATATAAACTTCTATTTATTTTCCTATTTGTTTTTCGAACATTCGATTTACTAGGCGTTGATAAGTTGCACCGACAATTTTTAGACCGAATGGCATTACATTATAACAATAGGTACCGTACTTAGTGATAAACGAGGTCTTTTCCTGATCCTCCGGGTTCATCTGTATCTGGTTGTACCCAGAGTAGGCATCGAGAAAACTGAGAGTCTTGTGGCCGGCCGTGGCATCGATCATACGATCGATGCTCGAGGGACCACAAAGCCATTGTCTTCGTCAATCTTCTGATTCTCTAGTTGGGTCGAGGCAGACGTTTGTTATTACTATTTGGTGTCTTGTTCCTTCTTCGAATTTGATCCCTTTTGTCGATGATAGTGAGGATATTGGAATCACTTCATCGATGGAAAACATTTCTTTTGTGGCTTGTTACTCCCCATAGACCGTTTTGATTCCCTCCGATGTTGGGAATTTCAGAACCTGGTGAAGGGTCGAGAGTAGTGCTCTCATGTTATGGATCCATGGCCTCCCGAACAGGGCGTTATATCTTATATCGCCCTCGATTATGTGGAACTTCATTTCCTAGATTTTACTGGCAAGATTATCTCGCCCTTAGTAGTTTCACATTCTATATTAAATTCTTTCAGTACCACGGTAGTGGGTACGACCTGGTCCTGTAGACCGAGTTGCTCTACGACCCTCGATCGAATGATGTTGGCCGAACTACCTGGATCAATTAACACACGTTTAACTTGAGTTTTATTCATAAGTACAAATATTACCAGTGCATCATTATGGGGTTGCATGATTCCTTCCGCGTCTTCGTCACTAAAGGACAAGGTTCCTTTAGGTGTGTAATTCTGAGTCCGAGATCGCTTTTCTCTTACAATAGACATCTTAGTGCATTTAAGCATTGGTCCCTGGGGGGCGTCGATCCCTCCGATGATCATGTGGATTATGTGTTGCGGCTCCTCTTATAAATTTCGTCTATTGAAATCTCTATTTTTGAAATGGGTTTTGGCCCGGTCACTTAAAAATTCTCGAAGGTGCCCTTCATTGAATAAACGGACTACCTCATCTCTCAACTGCCTGCAGTCTTCGGTTCTGTGGCCATGGGTGCCATGATATTTGCATATTTGATCGGGATTCCTCTGGACTGGATCGGATTGCATAGGTCGAGGCCACTGAGTATCTTTGATGCGTTCGATAGCCGACACGATGGTGGATTCATCGATGTTGAAGTTATATTCTGATAACCGTGGTGCTTCCTTAGGTCCGATATGTCTGTCGAACCCATTCTTGATCATCAGCCCCCGAGACCCTTGGCCTCGATCACTTCTCTTTTTGCCTCGTACAGAGTTGCGTGTAGGTTCGCTACCCCTACTATCTCCGTTATACGACCGATATCGGTCCCTGTTCGACTTGGTTCTCGATCGACGTCCCTTTTAATAGCGGACCCAGAACCCAACTGGTCGTCTTCAACTATGATCTTCGATTGATATCGATTGTGCACATTGGCCCAGGTAACAGTCAGGTACTCGACCAAATTCTACTTCAACTGTCGTGAAGACATCGAGCTTCGTTTGTTTAGTCCTTCAGTGAAAGCTTGTACAGCCCAATCGTCCGTGACTGGTGGTAGATCCATTCATTCCATTTGAAAACGAGATACAAACTCTCTTAGCATCTCGTTATCTTTTTGCTTTACCTTAAAAAGGTCTGACTTCCTGGTTTCAACCTTTATGGCTCTGGCGTGTACTTTTATGAAAGAATCTGCAAGCGTAGCAAAAGAATCGATAGAGTTAGACGGTAAATTATGATACCATATCATTGCCCCCTTTGACAGGGTTTCCCTGAACTTCTTCAATAGTACGGATTTGATCTCGTCGTCTTCTAGATCGTTCCCTTTAATGGCACATGTATAAGAGGTGACATGTTCGTTGGGGTCGGTCGTTCTATTATATTTAGGAATTTCGGGCATGTGAAACTTCTTGGGGATCGATTTAGGAGCCACGCTCGGGGGGAAAGGCTTTTGTATGATTTTTTTGGAATCCAAGCCCTTCAATACTGGTGGTGTCCCCGGGATCTGATCAACCCTGGAGTTATAAGTTTCTACTTTTTTGTCGTTTGCTTCAATCCTCTTTTCTCCTGACTCAATTTGTTTTATCGGTTCTTCCAACATCTTAATAATTTCGGGATTAGTCCCCGATTCTTATTCATTTGATCTTACTACAATTGGCCCCATTTCGTGAGTGCTTTCTCGGGATGGACCGGGTTTGGCCCTGCTTGGTACCTGGGTTTGGCTCTGCAACTGAGCTATTGCTACCTGTTGAGCTTGTAACATTTCGAAAATCATATGCATGCTGATCCCGTCTTCTCTAATATTTTGGGTATTTTGAACTGTAGGTCGAGCTCCACCATGGATGCTGTTTTCGGGGTCGGAACGTTGGTTCGCCTCGATGGCCACATGGAATTAACGTTGATTGGATCTGCGGACCGAGTTCCAATGGGATCGACGAGTGGCCTTTCATCCCCGATTGTCAGGTTGTTGTTCTCATCTTGAAGGCCAGCTTCGTTGTCAATAGGTAGGGGCATTGATTGAGAGTTCGCCGTTTTAAACTTGAAATCAAAGACACTTCCATGAGCAAGTGTAAAATGATGTGTTTTGTAGAGATTCGTACCAAATAATCACTATTATCCTTAGCCTCACGGTGGGCGTCAAACTGTTTACCCGAAAAACGGATAGAGTTAAATTTATACGTAGTTCTAAGCATACGTGGTATAACTTGATACAAATCAAAAAAATAAGTAGAAATATATCGAATATTGACTGTAAAAAAGGAATGAAATACAAACCAAATTAAATAGAGAATGATTTATAAACAAGCAAGATGAATCAACATCCAAAGCCCAAAAAAAGATAATCTCTACTATATATCTGTGTAAATATCAATAAACTTTGAAATGTGAGAGTGTATTGATGTCTCAATGTTGAATATATGATGCCTTACAGAAATGATAGCAACTCTTCATATAGTGGAAGAATTTTACTTTGGATATAATTAAAAAATACAAAAATGTGGATCCCATGATAGATTAGTTAATTAGTTTTTCCTTAGTTTCCGCCGAGATTCTCTCCCCTGGTGCGGCTACAACGACTCTTTGTCTCTTAGCTCGATCTTGGTCGGTTTTGGTATTGGTCGATCTCTGGATCTCGAGCTCGATATTGGCTCGAGCTCGGTATTGACCCGAGCTCGATATTGACTTCGAGCTCGGTATTGATCGGTCCCTGAATCTTGAGCTCGATAACCTGGCTTCAAATCTCATCTAGATATTATGATGACGACCCTCGGTCCATCATGTTCCAATCTCGACTAAATACATGAAGGGCAAAACCGGTTTTGACCGTATACACACTTCCCTATTTTCTTTTGTGCATATAATGTTCTTTTGTTTTTCTTCCTCTTGGAGTACCCAGCTATCTTACCTTGAATATATAATAAACTATAAATAGTTTAATTTATTCATCCTAGACATTGTCTTCATATTCATTTTTGTTCTATGTGTCGTGTTTTAATTAATATTTCTTGTGAGATTCGGCAGGAGATTTTGTGGAAATCGCCAAATATTATTGTAACTTTTAGACCACCGTGTTTGAAAATATTAAAATACAAGGTTATTTGTTATACCCTTCTTCGACAAGATCTTTTCAATGTACCTTTGACAGGTAGATAAATCCAGCCTCATTTAGTCAAATATAGGCAGCAAATAGTATTACTATGATTCCCAGGTCAAACCGTTAAACAGTTAATCTAATTAGAATAATTCTCGGATGTTAGAACTTCCAGTGTATTCAGATTCAACAATAAATGCTTGGACGAACGATCTGACTGCAGCTTCTTATAAAATGTATCTTAAGTTATGTGCACAAAAAGTGTAATACGATTCTTGTATTATTATCAATGCAATTTACTCAATTATAGCAAACTATTATTTTATTTTTTATATTGTCATATCAAGCTTGTTATAAAGATCATTGACTTAACCTGATACGGTAAAAAATACATATGCTATAACTGCACAAAACTTAAATACAAATAAAGAAATCCAGTTTTAGCAGCTAGGTAGAATAGGACAAAACTAAGGGATTTTTGAATAAGAAAGTTCGGCCACCAACATGAAAGTACACGGAATCCTCTGTCTCATTTGACAAATATATTACCCCATTAGTCAAATGGGAAGACAAAATTAGCAATAGGAATTATACAAAAAACCTGCAGCCTAGTATGTCCTCCAAGTGGCAGCAATTCAAGACTTTTGCTTTCCCCTTCAACCAGCAATCTTACTGTCGCTTACACAGAACATTACAAGCAGAAAAAGTCAATACAGTTCATAACTTTAATAATTTTTCCCCTTAACAGAATTTAGAAAGTTTCAACAACTGAGTCATGGACTGATGGTACATATTCAAAGCATTACTCAAGCATGAATGAACTTCCACTTCCACTCATGGTTTCCTCAGGATTTCTCCCAAGTAGGAATTTGCTGGAAACACTGATTCACATCTCTAACCAAGTATTGTCAATGGAAAAGCTTCCATTTTTACAGGTGAAGAACATCTCAACAATGGTAAGAAGGATCAAGATTCTTTCTTCATTGTTTGAAGAAATTCAAGAATCATCATCCACTGCACTACTTCCACCATCCTCAATCCTCTGCTTGACTGAGCTTTTCTCTATTATAAGAAAGGTAAAGCTCCTCATAGGAAGTTGCAAAGAGAGCAGTTCTTTGTGGAATCTCATGCAAACAGAACTTGTTTCCAACCAATTTCATGCACTGATGAAGGAAATGGAAAAGGCACTTGATATTTTACCTTTGAGATTGCTTCATGTAACTGTAGACACCAAGGAGCAAGTGGAGCTACTTCTTAAGCAGGCGAAAAGGGCTGACTTGTTCATTGATCCTCGAGAAATTCAGAAAAGGGAAGAGATTCTCCAGTTGATGGCTAATATTAACTGTGATAAGAACAGCAAGAACCAAGGCTTCATCGACTTTCGGAGAATGAAGGACACTATGAGCAGCGTTGGTTTGAGAAGCTCATTAGATTATGAGGAAGAGATCTCGAAATTAGAGGCAGAAGCTGAGAAACAGGCAGGCACAGGTGGACTCATCGCCATCTCGAATATCAACAGCCTAATATCCTTGATCTCCTTATCGAAAGCAGCAATTTTGGAAGAAGAACACCTCATGATTAAGCAAATTTTGAAGCAGCCAGCACCAATGAGTGCTCGTGCTGATCAATGCTCCTTGTGTTATTCAGTGGTTCCCGACATCCCTGATGAATTCCGGTGTCCAATTTCACTTGACTTGATGAGGGATCCTGTCATAATAGCATCAGGCCATACTTATGATCGAAATTCAATCGCTCAGTGGATAAATTCAGGGCACCACACTTGTCCCAAAAGTGGTCAGAGGCTGATACATATGGCTCTCATTCCTAACTATGCACTGAAAAGTCTAATCCATCAATGGTGCCTAGAGAACAACATTCCAATAACAGAACCTACATTATCTCCTTCAGATTCAGAAGGCAGCAGCAGCAGTAAGATTAAGAACTGTGACAAGGCGATTGACTACATTTCTGCCACTAAAGCTGCTACAGATGCTGTCAAAATGACAGCGGAATTTTTAGTCGGGAAACTGGCAACAGGATCTCCTGATATACAGAGACAGGCAGCGTATGAGTTAAGATTGCTCGCGAAAACTGGAATGGACAATCGCAGAATTATAGCTGAGTCTGGAGCTATTCCATTTCTGATGACTCTGCTATGTTCCCGTGATCCAAGAATCCAGGAGAATGCAGTCACAGCATTGCTCAACCTTTCAATACATGAGAATAACAAGATCCTGATTATGTCTGCTGGTGTTATCGACAGCTTAATTGAAGTCCTCCAATGTGGGAAAACGATGGAAGCAAGAGAAAATGCAGCAGCAGCAATATTCAGCTTGTCTGTAATCGACGAATACAAAGTAATCATAGGGGCACGTACCAGAGCGATTCCAGCTTTGGTCGGACTCTTAGAAGAAGGAACTACAGCAGGGAAAAAGGATGCTGCTATAGCACTCTTTAACCTTGCAGTCTATGATGCTAACAGGCCAAGTATAGTGCTTGCTGGAGCTGTTCCTCTACTTATTAATCTTCTGATGGATGACAAAGCTGGTATAACTGATGATGCATTGGCGGTTCTTGCCCTTGTCTTGGGCTGCAACGAAGGGCTGCAAGCGTTGAGAAAGAGTAGGATCTTGGTTCCTCTTCTTGTTGATCTATTGAGATTTGGATCTTCAAAAGGGAAGGATCATTCAATAACACTACTGCTGGGACTCTGCAAGGATAGTGGAGAGGAGGTTGCAGGAAAATTACTAATGAATCCAAGAAGTATTCCTTCTCTCCAAAGCTTGTCTGCAGACGGATCCCTGAGAGCTCGAAGAAAGGCTGACGCTTTCCTAAGATTACTCAATAGATGCTGCTCTCAATCTCAGTAACCCTGATGGATGAGAGAAATGAATACACTGTTAACAAGAATGTAAATGGATGGAAATACTTCACATTAAGTTACTGTAATTCAACCTTTATCCCTTTCACCATAAACCTGATGACATCCAATCAAGTTGTAAAACTCTTCTTCATTGAAGCCACATTGAAATGCAAATTATTATGAGTCAGTATATTACTTTCAGCACGTTGCTCATGAAAACCTGCTCTCTTTGAGCATGAAAGAGCACAGAGGAGAAAATCAAGGGGAAACCATCTCTCATCAAATATTGTCCCTGCTTTGTTAGCGCATAAAGCATATTCATTGAAAGTACTGCCAAAATGCAAAAAAGAGACAGTAAGATGAGAACATTCAAATGGAGATTTAGACTAGAAACTTCGATCAAAGAGATCGAAATATAATTGCATTTCATGGGTCCTCTGACAACGATGAAACCTTATGGATTAACATTAGTATCCAGAGAAGCGAACACTGGATAGAGAATGAAGTGGCAAAGCAGAAACGTGAGAAAAGTAAGAGTAAAATGTCCACAAGTGTTTGAATCCAAGCCATAAACGCTTGCTGGCACGTTCCTCTCCAACTTGACTACCGATAGAAACAGCTTCTTCTCCGGCCAACATAATCAATGATAATACATTGTTCACACACCAATTAGACCCTTGCCGTGAAAAGAACAAATCTGCAACTTCTTACTATCTTCATATTTTATTGGGCTCGTTTCCTTTTTTTTCTCAAAAATAAAACCCTGCAACTTCAATCCAAATAAAGAGTTATCCCTAACATAAAAATAAACGTAGATGCCACGAGCATTCATCTTCATGGAATCGATTTTGTTACAGATGCTCAAATAGCATACAACAATGACCAAGAAACCCGGAGTGAAACATGAATGATTTACATTTACACGAAAAAAGGAAAGAAAAATATACAACTGTGGTATTAGAGTTGTCAAATTACATTAGACATGATTTACAACTAAATTACAAATAGCTGCAATTAATCACAAAACTGCTCAGAGAGTTCGAGTGGTTCAACTTTTGTTCAACCAAGCCTGAAAGTGGAGTTACAAGCCCCAGTTGTGAACCACGATTCACAAAAGAAGTTGGTAAGGCGTCCGTCAGTCATCCTATAACTCCACCAATTCCAACTGAACATGTTTGCCCATTATCTTGTAGTTCCAAAACCAGCTTCCACACTCCATCAACTTCTTCTCAATAGGTTTAAGTTCGACTGCTAATCCTGAATGATAGGAAACAACAATTAGTAAATAAATTTAGTATTTTCAACCCAACGAAAAGGTCTACGCCCAATACGATGCTGCCAAGGAATTTCAGCTATCCTACTGGGACACTGCACGTGTACCTTGCTCACCACATATTTGTCATAATCAATATACAAATGTTATGAATGCAACTACTAAGGTTTTGCACTTCTGTCCACATTTTCACAAAATGTTCACAAGTGAGTTGGGCTCTACAAGACCTTCTGTTAATCGATCCAGGTACATGTATATACTGCCAGCTATAAAGGTGCAACATCTTCTATGCTATTTTAACTAATACCAACTAAGAGGAAAATGTGATTGTGACAAGATGCGGAGAGGGATACTATGACAATAATATCTCCAACTCACTTAAGTGTGCAGAAGAGCAATACCTTAATATAGGTTTGTTTGGTTTGGATTATCAAACCTGTTTTTGATTATTTAACAAGTGATTATTAAAAATGAACACATTTGCCAGAAGATGCAAGTAGCACGCATTGAGGATAAAATGAGAGGTGGTCGCTTGAGATGGTTTGGTCATGTCTTGCGTCGCTCAATAAAATATAAATGCACCAGTACTTAGGTGTAAAATAATAGTGAGTGAAAGTATTAAAAGGGACGAGATAGACCTAAAATCTAAAATCACATGGAAAGAAGTTATCTCGAAAGACCTACAAATCCTTGGAATCAATGCAAGCTTAGCTAAAGATAGGGTACAATGGAAGAAAAGGATCCATATAGGTGATACTTGCTAGTTAGGAGCTTTAAATTTGTTAGAGAAGTTTTAATATTATTACTCCCTCCGTCTCATATTATCTGTCATGATTCTCTTATACACGCCCCTTAAGAAAAATTAGTTAGAATGGGATTTTGACTACTTTACCCTTATTCATGTCTTAATATTTAATCTCTCAATTTATGTGCCACATGGTAGAAGTTGTTAGGATTCCGGTGTTTATTGATTGCATTTGTGTAATATACATGATAAAGTGTTTAAGAAAACAAGGTTGACTTATTAAAATTTGAACAAAGTTATCCATAACTGAGGTGTTTGTAGTCTTCAAGGATAATTATTACTAAAGGTAAAAAGGGAAAAAAATAATCAATTTTGTCTTGAACTTCTAAAATGACAAATAATTTGAGACAACTATTTTTAGTAACCACGACTGATAATATGAGATGGAGGGAGTATTATTATTTATTCTTATTATTACTACTATTATTTACATATATATTTCACGTATTTTCCCTACTACTCTTATGTTATTTTGTCTTGATGATGATATGAAAAGAGCTTAAAGAAAGAATTGAGGATTCATATCGCCGACCCAACTTTGTTTGGGACTGAGGCGTAGTTGTGGTTGTTTTTGTGATTGTTAGAGACTTGATTAAAGAGTCAGTTTCATATAGTAATAGTTAGCTACTAAATTAATTTTTTTGTACAATAACAGGAAACAATTTAATGGCACTGTTAATCAATATGAAATGCCTTAGTAAAAATAATATGATAACAAAAGAGCAACTTAAGAATATATTAGATCAAAATCTTCTAAAAACCTGAGTCTCCTGTTGTTATCTTCATTTTGTAACCATTTGGAACTTCAAAAACATGATTACCCTGCATTTGGAAAACAAGATAAAAGAGCATATCAGCATCTGATAAAATAAAAAAAGCACAGTTACAGAATTTCCAATAGGGCATACATAATAAGATGTCATGTAAACCACATACTTCAAATTCCTTCTAACAGAAGCAAAAAATCATGGTAGGATGACCCTTAGAAAAGGCAGTTAACTGTCAATATAGGTGATATTATCCTGCCCTTAGCTTTTTAATTTACTTCCAACAACCCCTACCAGTGTAATGGAGACTTTGGAGCATCTTCTTTGACTGTTGTACTCAAAGCTTATATGGAGCACCATCCTAGACTGGCTAGGAGAGGAGATAAATCAAGGGTTGGGAAGAGGAAGTACAATGGGCAGCTAAGAAGACCAATAACACCAGGCCAGAGCAGGCATCATTGGCTTCCTGTTTGCAGCTAGTGTATATCAAATTTGGTCCGAGAGGAATGCTAGAAGATTCAGGAACCAAAGAAGAAGGCTGGCAGCTGATAAGAGAAATTGTTTTACAGCTACACATCTATGGGCAGAAATTCTGTAAATGGCAAAAGCATTTAGAGTGTCTGAATAGTTACACAGTATAGCACACTATCTTAGAGATTGTTACCCATTGTTGATAATATCCAGTACTCTACTGGATTGCGGATAGAACAGAATAGTCAGTAGTAGTCTGCTTGCTGAGAACTGACTCATGAGTCCAAATGAGTCATATGTGCATATTGATATACTTGGTTAAATAAAATTTTGAAGTTTAACCAAAAAACAACCCCTACCCCGCCTGCCAAAGGGAAATCCGGGACTAAAAACTAACATACAACTTAACAAAGAAGTTACTGATTATCTTAACTACCTCCCAAAGTACAATGAAAATTTACAACTACACATTTGCATGTTGAAATGCTAATCATATACTCTAAGGTTAAGCGAACCTGCAACATAACATCTGCTGCTTCAAATTCTGCATTTCCGTGCAGTATCACTTTTACTGCCTCAAATCGCTCCACATCGTGCTTCCAGTATAAATTTTCTTTTGAATTCCAATTAATTCCATCATTCAATATCTTGACATTCTCCAGCTTACATCTCCCACACCTACATAAAGGATTTTATCATTAAATGGACATCTATCAAACTAGTAGTTTCAAGAATTTTCACCAGGTGGACTTCATTACCTTTTTCCATACTGTAGAATGGTTTCACCATTTTCATCAATTGTGGTTGAACCTAATATATTCTCAGCTAAAATGATCAAACTCCCATCAAGCTGGAAAACAAAGCCAAGTAAATAGGTCATAACGATATGAAAAGCATGGCCTGGCTGCACAAACCAAGAATCCTAACCTGCACATCTCTCCACAAGAACTCAGCAACCTCTATTTGCAACTCTGAACCCCTGGATATGGAACCTCGGTGGAACTAAGAGAGACAAAGCAAAAAGAAATGGTTACAACTTTCATGACAGTAGAGCATGCCCCATGACTTCTCTCCTAAACAATCAAGAAGGACAAAAAGTGAAGATAGTAGTCCAACTTGAAGATAGTAAATCAATTAATTAGCTACTAGAGCCTAGACGATGGATAGATGATGGCCGGGAGAAGAACACAGTAGGCCAGCGAATGAATCAGGTGCAGACATCAACTTTCAAGGTCAATTTTTCAAATCATAGTCAAAACTCTATGTTTTGGGGGTTTCAGAAGAAAATTCACGACATCAGGGAAAACTGCAGTTTATTAAAACAATGAAAGGCAATTGCCAGATTACCTTCTGTCTAGTTACTTCCCAAAGGGGACCTAGAGCAGGATGGAGAAGAATAAGAAATGGAGGCCCAGAGTCAACATACTTCTCGTTACCTTCAATCTGCAGATACATAAAAAGAGTTTAAAAAAGTATACCAACTTCAACAAAAACAGGTACTTTGCGGAAGAGGACTTGAATAAATTGCTCACTAATATGTTATATACTAACCAAGTTCAAGTAACTAGGTCAGAATATTCCAATACATAAGGATACAAATGATGAAAGTTCAGTCCCGCAAAATACCTTTGGAATTTTTATCTCACAGTGGGAAAGAATATCATAGGCATTACGCATTATATCCAACAGAGAGCCATCTGGAGTCTGCAAGGACCAATTTCAATGCCAATGAGTTATAATAATACTTCGGATCTAATCTAGTTTCTGAAAAAAATAAACAGACTTTAAAATACATATCCTCCAGAACTGTGATATTAGCCTCTGGGCTTTGACTCTCATGGACCAGAAATATATCGCCATTAGTTTCTTTTCTCCTCAGCTGTAACTAAGCTCATATAATTGATAAAGCTTCAACCCAATACATTTGATTCGACACATTTCTTAGGTGTGTCCTCATTTAATTGATACTTCACAAGAAAATGTGAACATTGGGAGATTCAAGTATTTTAGTACGACACACGTCACGAGGCCAAAAAACCATGCAGAGTTCTGGGAACAAGAACATGCTACGCAACTCATGAGATGAAACTGTACCCAAAAATTCAAAAAGCAGAGACATAGCTTTATGTGATTGTTACTACAGAGGCAGTGCAGTTCTATTGACCTCTGTAATATTACTTAAACCGAGAAGCTAGAAGAATTGAATTTCAAGGCCGGGTCGAGGATCTGCCTATCAAGGAAAATATGCTCTGTTCCAAATTTCTCATATAGAAGCTACTAAATTCTGTATAACCTGGTGCAACGACTTGTCACCATGTCTACGTTTCTTCTTGGCAGAAGATGTCACCTTCTTTCTTTCGTTGTATACAATAAAAGTATCTAGTCCATCTGCCATATAAGCAAAATCATTTCATTTAAAACTGGATCAGAAGGGAAGATTTATGGTATGTGATAAAAAAAACTTCACTGAAAGTGGCCATGTAGACCTTCAACACCGTCATAACATCGAGATGAGCGTGTATTGAAAAAGTTGTCAGCAAGGTTTTGCATTGTACATTCAAGGCGGCCACCTGGGACACTGGAACGAAACAGAAAGTAAAATCTCATTGAATCCTGTATTTGGAACTCATTAAAATAAGAAGCTACTGCAGTAACAATGACATTATTTTGACCCAGTAATCATGCAGTAACAAAGATAGTATGATGTGAAGACTTCCAAACACATATAGCAACTTTAAATAGACATGAAACTTACAACGTAACCAAATCCAAGAAAGAAGGCCAAGTAAATGCTTC